CGGTAGGACCCACGTGGCGTCGAAGATGTAACACACTCCCTCTCTTAAAAGACCGAGCTACCTGCGAGGGCGGAGTTGTCTGTCCGATACCGGGGTGGGTCGGGCGGGACGAGCTGCTTCCTTAGCAAGGCGTCGCTTCTCATAGTCGGCGAAGATAAGGGGTGCAGAAGTCTGCAAATCTGTACTTAAGATCCACCGAGTGTCATCAGGCGCACATGATTGCTTGAATGTGACTTTGAACTACATTGGCTTGTTGCCATACTTGCGGTGCGTGATGACTCGGTCGCCTTCCTGATGTCTGTCCATAGAAGGCGGATCCTGTGATCGACGACCGGGAAACTCGTCGGCGGAAGGTGGCGTGTAGATGGCCAGCTTCGACGCGTGGAAGACCCGGTGCACTGGAAGGTGCGGAGGAATGTTGACCACAAAGGAAGGACCTGCGGGGTCGTCTCCAACGACAGAAGTGACTTCCCATGGTCCGAACCATTTCGGAAGGAGTTTGCGCGAAACGTCTTGCTCGAGAGCAAATTCCTCGGAGAGGACCCAAACAAGGTCTCCCTCGCGGAAAGGACATGGAAGTCGACGTCGGTTAGCCTGCTGCTGCATGCGGACCTGAGCCTTTTGCATATTCGCGCGGGCTTTGATCAGCAAGTCCCGGTACTTCCGAACGGAAGCGGGAGAGCAAGGGACGTCTATGTCGGCAGCCTGTGGCAAAAGGAGATCAGCGAAGATCCGTGCTTTCTCTCCACCATGATGTAGCTCGAATGGTGTGACGCAGATCGCCGGGTGCACCGAAGTGTCGTAGGCGAACTCGATGTCGGGAAGCCGGTCAACCCAATCTTTCTGGTCGGGACGGATGAGCGTACGCAACATCATCTGAGCGGTCTGGTGCGCTCGCTCCGTCTGACCATCCGTCTGCGGGTGCCTAGCCGAGCTCGGCTTCATTGTCGTGCCGGACTCAGTCATGAGAGAAGTCCAAAAGGCTGACATGAAACGAGTGTCTCGGTCGCTCACTATGTCTTCCGGAACACCTTGGTTGGTAATCCAACCGGTGTGCAAGAGTCGTGCGAGCTCAGGCGCTGCAGCATGATACTTGTAAGGAAGGAAGCGAGCATACTTGCTCAAACGGTCAACGACCGTGAGAATACCGTCATGGTCGTGGCGATCGCAGGGGAACGGGCCTATCACGTCCATAGCAATGGAGAGGCGCGGTGCTCGAGGAATCGGCAACGGTTTAAGTTCGCCGAAGGGGACTCGAGATCGACCCTTGTTACGGTGGCAAACTGCACATGACTCAATGTACCTCGTGACGTCATGAAGGACGTCGGGCTAGTGAAAACGTTGGCGGAGGCGTGCTAATGTGCGGTTCACGCCAAGGTGTGTCGAAAGTCGTGCGTCGTGGAATTCGCCGAGAAGACGAGTCCGTAAGATGCGATCTTGGGGCACAACTAACAAGTCCTTTCCTCTCGTGTGAAGGAGAAGGAACCCGTCGGAAATCCGATAGTGGCTAGCCGGCGGATGATCCGATGAAAGCTCCGCGTAAAGCATAGAGTAAGTCGGATCAGACTTGTAGCCTTTGACGAAATGCGGCTGCAGATCGTCATCGAGGTCGAATGCCGTGGTCACAATGGCACAAAAATCGGGTCGTCGTGAGAGGGCGTCCGCAGCTCGATTGGCGAGACCGGGAATGTGGCACGGGTCAAAATCGAACTGGTCGATGTAATACATCCATCGACCGATCGTGCTAGTGACCGCGTCCTGCGTTTTGTAAAAGATCAACTGATTGTTGTCCATATTCCATTTAAAATGTCGACGACCAGGAAGGAAGTGGCGCCACCGTTTGAGAACGGTGACGAACGCGAGTAACTCTTTCTTCTTAGCATCGTCGAGAGTGTTGACGAGAGGCACCTTTTGGGAGAAATACTCGACCGGATGCCAACCGTCCTCGTGACAYTGTTCCAACACCGCACCAATACCGTATCCCGAAGCGTCCGTAGTCACTTGGGTGGGTAGGGTGGGGTCRTATATACGGAGGGCAGGTGCGGCTTGCATCGTTGCCTTCAACGTAGTGAACGCGCCACGGGCTGCGTCGTCGAACTCGAAGGGCACCTTCGGGGACTGAAGTCTCGACAAAGGAGCRGCCACTTTCGAGTATGACTCGACGAATCGCTGATAATATCCAGCCAAACCCATGAAAGAGCGTACATCCGTCGTGCAACGGGGTTCCGGCCAATCCACGATGGCTTGGATCTTGTCCGCTAAGGGACGAATGCCTTTCGGCGTGACAAAATG